AAAACTATTTTAAATAGATGAGTTGTGGCTAAGTTACTTTAGAATTGAATGCCTTGGGTGCACTGGGCAGAGGCTCAACTTCCTATTTTGTTAAGAAAGAGAAAAACCCATGTGTTAAAAAGTTTTCCCTCCCTCCATCCCTCCATCCCTCCGTCCCTCGGTCCCTCCATCCCTCTGCCCCTCCCTCCGTCCCTCCGTCCCTCCGTCCCTCCCTCCCTTCCTCCCTCCCTCCCTTTCTCCCTCCCTCCCTCCTTCTTTACCTTCCTCCATCCTTTTTTTCCTCTCTTCCTTCCTCCCGTCCTCCTTCTTTTCTCCCTTCTTTTTCTCCATCCTTTCCATCATCCTCTTCCCTTCCTCTTTCACACTATCATCTGTCTATGCCTCTCCCCCATCTCTTTTCATTAGCAACCCAGATATGACCAAACCCTACAAACAATCTCTCTGTATGTCTCTGTACCCACCTTAAAGTAGGACTCAGTTTTTCAGCACATGACCCCAAGAGCAAATCCATGATTCTATGTAGGTACATGTGCAGCTGCTTTGTACATGTGTGTGAGCATGGGTATAGAGACCAGAGGCAGATCTCAGGTATTTTCCTCCTGCTTATACTTTGAGATATGGTCTCTCACTGAACCTGTTGCTCACTGATTAACTAGACTGTCAGGCCACTAAGCTTCTAGGATCTGTCTGTCTATATCAGGGTTACAGAATCCTGGGACCAAACTCAGCTTTTTTTACATGTGTGCTTAGAATTCAGACTCAGTCAGGAAGCAGAGACAGACATGGAGGGTCCAGGGAACGATAGGTCCTTCAAAGACATGCTTCCAGTGACAGACTTCCATTCTGTATGAACCCAACAATGTATTACCCGTTGATGAAGTTTGTGTCCTCAAGATCCGATTACCTCTTCATAATTGGATCCAACAGCTAGAGACTGAGCCTTCAACACAAAAAGCCTTTGGAGGACATGCAATGTAGAAACAGTAACAAATTGGTGTCTTGGGACTTGCTTCTCTCATAGCTGCACCTGCATATTAGTTGGGTTGAACATATTTAGCTATAGAGTACATTCCACTGAGATGTTATAAACCTCCACAGTCTATTTCTTGTTCCTCTTCAAGGTCTACCAGATGTTCGGAGGTCTTCTGACTGGCACTTCAGAGATCTGGAATGCCTTCTCTGGGTGATGGTGTTTGACATCTTTCCGGGAGTTGGGGGTGGCAAGATAGAGACTTTAGGAGCAAGTGATAGTAAGGGCTAGGTTTGGGAGTGCTGTGTCTCACTTCCACTCACACCTCATGGGCATGTGATGACTAGTGTTGTCAATGTAACAGAATCATACAGGAGCTAAGCTTTTGAACAAGCCTATGGAAGATAATCTTGATTGCATTAACTGAAATGTGAAGACCTGCTCAATGTAGGTGGCACTATCCCCTGGCTAGGATCCTGAACTGTGTAAGTGGAGAAAGGAAGCTTAGCAACAGTATACACACATCACTCTCTCTTTCTGACTGTGAATGTGATGTGCTTAATTAACTTCCCTGCCATGAAGGGCTATAGCCTTGAACTGTAGAGCCAGAATAAACCACTTTCCCTTAAAGAACTTTTGTCAGAGAATTTTATCAGAGTAACAAGAAAAGAAATGAAGACCAGGCATAATTCATTCATTGCTAGTATCTATCCAGGAAGAGGGAGGGAGTTTGATAAGCATCCAGGAGATGTCACCTAGGAGACATAGTTGTCTCACTCAAACAGGACTCTGGTGGTGCGTTCTTAAAGTCCATGGTTTTCCTCTCCACCGTCACTCTTGCTATCAGATGGATTTTTAATGTCAAAATCTGTACGCATCCACGTACATGCTTGCCATGTATTCACTCATGTCTTCTGTTTCTTAGGCGGGACAAATATTGCCATCTCCATATTGAAAGAAGGTTGGCATGGTGGTACAAGCCTGTAATTTCAGTACTTAGGAGGCAGATTCAGGGACATCATGAATCTGAGGACATCCTGGACTATATCTTGAGTTCCAGGCCATCCTGAGCTAAAATGTGCTCTCAAAAAAGCAAACAACTACAACAGCAACAGAATACCAAATGCAATTATATCCTAAATAAATCTTTATACAGTGGAAGAGGCACACACACACACAAATAGTGGCATTGGCGCCGGAGAGATGGCTCAGTGGTTAAGAGCATTGAATGTTCTTGTAGAGGATCCAGGTTGGATTCCCGGCACCTATATGGTGGCTAATGATCATCCATAATCCAGTTCCAGGGGATCCAACACCCTCTTCTGATCTCCATGGGCATTGCACGACATGAGTGCACTTGCATACATGCAGGTAATACACTCATACACAGACATTCTTGTGTAGTGTGGCATTCCCTTGAGTCGTCCTGCAGATGGCTGTCACGTGGTTCCTATTTATGCTGAAGGCTGGGGTAGCTCTGTCTGCAAGCACTCTCTGGTTATAGGATATGTTCAGCCTGTATAATGCAGGTTGGAAGTACTAGGGAGTTCATATCAAAAATGACCTTAAACCAGTGAGAGAATATGTGTGTTGACCCTGGGTGTGATCTTTCTGAGGCATGCTTCACACAGTTCTCCAGTGCCTCTGGACTGTGGCATCAATGTTAGAAACACATTTATTGATACATATTCACTCCTTTTTTTCTTTCTTACCATCTCGTTCTCTTGTCATTTTTCCTCCCAGATAAGCTACCTTCTCCCATCTTTGACTTGTGCAGATATACTTAATAGGCATAAGAAAATCTGTGATGTTATATTATTATTAATTTTCAAAAAGAGTAGATATAGGTAATTAATACAGAAAGATAAATTCTGTGCAAGAAAATAGAAAAAAATGGCTGCCAGCTCAAAGCCTCTATGAGGAGATTTAGCGTGAGTGGCAAAGAATGCAAACGATGGGACTGGAGAGATGGCTCAGTGGTTAAGAGCACTGGCTGCTCTTGCAGAGGACCCAGGTTCAATTCCCAGTACCCACATGTTGCCAGTTCCAGAGGATCTGCCACCCTCTTGTAATCTCCATGGGCACTGCACAACACAGGTACACTTACACATATGCAGGCAATGCTTTCATATGCATAAAATAAAAATAATAAATAAAATATTTTTTAAAAGAACACAAAGGACTTGTGTATGAGGGGAGGGACAGGGAAGGGCATGCCAGAGAAGAGAACAGTCTAGGCACATTTCTTCAACAATTCTTATGTAGGCTATGTGTGTGTGTGTGTGTTTGTGTGTGTGTGTGTGTATGTTTGTGTGTATCATGTAGGTGTTGTACAATAGTGCATGGTTCTGGCACTGTTCCCTGGGCTCAACACACTTTTAAGATATACTTAACCAGTTTACATGATGGAGGATTAGCTCTTGCTCTCTCTGACCCTGAAGAGTATAGCCTGTTGCTGTGGTCCTAATGTTTGTGTCTCCTCACTCCAAATTCATATGCTGAACTCTTAACTCCCAAGTATTAGGAAGAGGGACATTTAAGAAAGGATAGATTAGGTCATGAGGCAGAGCCTTTGTACATGAAATGATAACTGCAGTCCCAGGAAATGTCTACTTCTTCCCCCATGTTGGGGTACAGCAATGAGATATCCTCCGTGTACAGAAACCAGGCCCTCACCAGACACTGAATCTGCCTTGATCTCAACTTTCATGTCTCCAGAACTGTGAGAAATGGTTTTCTGGTTGTTTTGTTAATGAAGTAATTTATGACATTTCATGCAACCATCCAAATGGTTTAAGAATACCTGTGGCGTCTTATCTTCACAAAGCCATTTGTTTGTCAGACTCTGTGGAGTCCCCACCAAGCATCCCACACATTTCTCAAGGGAACTTACCAGTATCTCCAGTCTGCTGAAGGCACCAGTGAGGTTGCTGCTCAGTGCTTCTCAGGATGTCCACTGACCTGTCTGCTGGGACCTGACAGAACACACTGGGGCTGTGACTGCATGCTTGAGACACAAGGTCAGGCCATGTTTGTCTCATTGCTTTCTCTAGTGATCTTGTGTCATCTGAATAAGTGATCAGGAGACATCTCACCCTCTCCCAGGACTCACAGGTGAATGCTTCCTTGCTAAAAATGGAGGAGGAGAGAAAAGAATCATTTTATGATGACCTATCAATCATCTCCAAGCCTTTTTAAACCAGGGACCTTTGTTCAAGCATATTCTTTTTTAATATTTCATTTATTATTTTTATTTTATGTGTATGAGTGTATTGTCTGAATATAGGTAGGCATATCCATGTCATGAAATGCCTGTGGAGGTCAGAAGAGGGCATTGGATCCCCTGAAACTGGAGTTATAGATGGTTGTTGGCCACCGTGTGGATGCTGGGAATCCAGATCCTCTGCAAGAGCAACCAGTGCTCTTAACCATTGAACCATCTCTCCAGTCTCAAACATACTCTTATGGAAATTCTATCCATAGGACTGGCTGAGTTCCGCTGGGCCATGGTGTAGAGGCCTCACGAACTCCCTGCTCAAGCCCGTCTCCGAGTGCAGAGTGACTCCACTGCTTGGGAGGCCAGGAGGAAGGCAGTAAAAAGAGAAAAGTAAAGGTTATATGTAACTTCAGATTATCTGGAAAACTATTTGGGGTCTCCAAGATGAATCCAGTTCTCATTTGCCAGAGAGATGGGTCACCTGGTTTCTGCTCTGAAGCTGTGACTTGGGAGACAATGACCCATGTCAAGGACGAAACTCCTATCTTGGGGCTAGAGAGATGGCTCAGTGGTTAAGAGCGCGCACTGCTCTTGCAGAGGACCCACGTTTGGTTCCTAACGCACCTGTCAGGGAGCTGACGACTGATTGTAACTCCACATCTAAGGGATCTGACACCCTCTTCTGGTCTCCTCAGGAACCTGCACTCACAGGTGCACCTACCCCCATGTAGACATATACACATAATTAAAAATACATCTTAAAAAAACAAAACCTGTCACCACAGTTTCATCAGCTTTGCTCTTCTCCTGCAGAGGTTCCGAAGACAGAACAGACCTTTGAAGAGCGCTTGATCCTCAAAGCTTTCTTGCTCAAGTTTGTCAATGCCTACTCCCCCATCTTCTATGTGGCCTTTTTTAAGGGGAGGTGAGTACTTGTGGAAAAGCAATTTGCTTAATTCAACACTAAGACTGGGTCCTCCATTCCTGGACAAGTAGAGTCATCTGATCTCCATCATTGGCTCACATCCCCATCCTGATCGACACCTCCTGACTAGGATGAATTATTATCTACTTGGCAACTCATGAAGGAGTGAATTTGTAACCTCAGAATCTAGTAACCAGGGCAACTACACAAAATTTGACCCTAGACCCTGAAGGGAGAGTGTTGGAAGAATTAGTGTCTCCCTTGAGAACATGGTAAGACACAACTGCATATGTAGTCAGAGAGTCTGTGGTCCAACGATGCAGTTTTGGTACTAACTACCTAGGGCTGATCTAGGCTTCATAGCTTAAGGGCACCATCCTTCACAAGTCTGCTCTTACTTCAGACAGCAGCAACAAGCTCTAGAGTGCTTCAGACATTCGCAATCCTGACCCTCTGGCTGTCAATTCCAGGCTCCCAGTTACCCCTTCCAGTTCTGTAATTCATTAGAATGACTCACAGAATTCAGGAAGATGCAATACTTAACGTTTACAGGAAAGGGAGAGAAGTCCAAGGTAGCAAACAGAAGAGGCTCATAGACTGAGGTCTCAAAGTGTCCTGATCCTGAAGCTTCCATGTCTTTAGGATTCATTAACCCCCTGGGACATCCAAGGTGTCAACCAAGCTCATCCAAGTTGGTCGCTAGTGTTCTCTTGCAGATCTCCTTGTTTAGGCATAGTTGATGTAATCACCATGGGACTGAACTCAAACTCTAGTCTTCTTCTTCCACTGAGGTCAGATTGCTACAATGTGTCTCAAAGGCCCAGCCAAAGTAGTTGGTCTCTGGCATCACCTGTCCTCATCCTAAGCAATCTCATTAGCATATATGTGGGCAACAGTCCCAGGAGTCCACAATGAATAACAAAGATGCTCCTATTACTCTGGAAATTCTAAGGATTTAAGGGCTCTTCCCAAGAACTATAGACAAGGGCCAAAACAATACTTGTTTTATACTTGTTTTATGCTCATTTTTTTTTCTGACAGAATCTCACTATGAAGCCCAGGCTAGACTTGAACTCATCACACAGCTCAGATTTGCTTTCAATTCATAGTCTGCTGCCTCAGTCTCTTAAGTGCTAGGATTTAAACATTCATTTGTATATTTATGGATGTGCAGGTTGTGTGTGGGGTTGGTCAGGCCAGCTGACTACTTGCAATGCAATTTTATCAGACTTTAAGTAACTGATCAGGTTAGCTTCCTGAGAGCCAAAAGCTGATGGAGTATCACCAAGAATAGTCATTACTATGTGACAATTTTTTTCTAGCTGTGTTTGTAACCCAAAACACACCTCTGCTGTCAGCTGTCAAGAAGTTTGAGCAGCAAAGAGACTACCCGAATAAATGACTATAGATTTTACCTCTATTTCTATCTAGATTTAATAGGCAAATTGCACACACATAACAGTTTAGGCCAGGATGGTCCTGACTCTTACATAAATTTGTGGTACACTAGAAGAGATTGTCTTGGCAATAGCACTCTTGTAATCTGTGGCAAGTGTTCTAATAAGATGTAAGAGAAAAGTGTTGGGGGACTGGGCATGTAGCTCAGCAATAAAGTACCTGCCTAGCATATGCAATGGGATGGAAAGGGAAGGGATAGGGGAGGGGAAGGGAAGGGAGAGGGAAGGGAAGAAGGGCAGGGCAGGTTTTAATTATAAAGAGAAACAAGATCTCAAAGACAGAAAAAATTCAACCGTCTTGAATGGATGACTTGCATTTCAACTGCACACAGTTGGGAGTCTGCTGATGATCAGTCTGGCTCTGTGATTGACTTTTCCCTTGCCTTCCTAGTTTCTTTATTGACCCCCACCCCACCCCAGTCTCCTCATCCCCAAATGGAACACATTCTATTTAGAAGAAGAGGGGCAAACTTCTTCCCTTCCTTTGAATATTTTCATTTACAAAAGCAAGATGCTTTCTTTTCTGAAGGAAATGTGCTTATAACTTTAACCAACCTCACCCTCAATTTCCTGGGAAGTCATAAGCCTGCACCAAAGACCTGCAGTCAAAATTCAGTCCTTGGCATTGGTCAAGGAGAAAAGGTACACAGACAATACATTTTATTCAGAACTCTCTCTATGTGACTCTCTCTGTCTCTCTGTCTCTCTGTCTCTGTCTCTCTGTCTCTCTCTCTGTCTCTCTCTGTCTCTCTCTCTCTCTCTCACACACACACACACACACACACACACACACACAATCCATCCCTTGCCATACTCAGCCTCATTTCCTGCCCAGCTCTGCCCCTGCATCCAGAAATCTGACTGCATTAAGAAGTGTCCTGAAGTGTTATAGGTTTTCTGGCTGGTAACAGGATGTGAACTACTGTCCCAGTGGGATTTGGAACCTCCCTGGTCAGTCCATTCAAGGAAAACATTGGGTGGCAGCTACTTCTGGCAGAAGGCATGTGTTCCAGTAGCCATGGTATAGTGTATCTTCCCCTGACTCTACACACTCATTTTTATTTCAGATTTGTGGGCAGGCCTGGAAGCTACGTCTATGTGTTTGATGGTTACCGCATGGAAGAGGCAAGTACAGTCCCTAACTGGTGTTCATGCCTGGCTAGTAGTTTGTAGGTCATCCTCAGCTCAGCCCCATCCTTTCCCCATCACAGTCTTAACTTATACCCAAGGTTCTCTGAAGCTGACTTGGTCTGACTGTGCCCATCTCTATCCTTTCCTTCCTGCAGTGTGCTCCAGGTGGCTGTCTCATGGAACTCTGCATCCAGCTCAGCATCATCATGTTGGGGAAGCAGTTGATTCAGAACAATATCTTTGAGATTGGAGTCCCGTATGTAATAAATAATTCTCTGTCATTTGCTGCCAGGAATGCCAGACTTTCAGTAGGGTTTTTGTAACTTTCCCCCTTTTTGTACAGCTTGGTCATTTACTCCTCTATGTACCAGTAACTGTCCCTTCTGGCTTTGTTGACCAATCTAGGCTGAGATGTTGGTGATTCAGAAAAATTTACCACTTGTTTAGAAATCATAGCCCTCAGGTGCTGGAGAGATGGCTCAGTGCTTAAGAGTACTGGCTGCTCATGTAAAGGACCCGGGTTAATTCCCAGCACCCACATGGCAGCTAACAACCATCTGTTACTCCATTTACAAGGGATCTGACACCCTCTTCTGGCCTCAGCAGGCATTGCACACATGTGGTGTGCTTATATACATGAAGGCAAAACACTCATACACATAAAATAAAATAAAATTTAAATAAGATACATAGCCAATAAAGAACAGAGTTAAGAGTTAGAACTCAGACCCCAAAGTATACAATATTTTAATGTATTTGTCCTCCCACTAGATAAGTAGGAGCACACTAGTGTGGTGAAAAGATGACTAATGAAAGCTTGAAACATAATGAAATCATTAGGAAAATCTCTGACAACAAAATGTGGAATATCTAGTCTTAGGGAAAGAATAAGTAGTTGGTAAAGCCCCATAGTTTTATGTGTATTTCATAGACTTTTTATTTTGTTTTGTTGTGCTTTTATTTATTTATTTTTTGCTGTGGTATATGTGCATGTGTGCATGCGTGTGTGTATATGCACGCACATGTACATGTATGTGTGTGTATGTGTGTGTGTGCATATGGAGACCAGAGGTCAACCTAAGGAGTTATTCCTCAGAAGCTGTCCACCTTGTTTTTTGAGACAGGGCTCTCTCACTGGCTTGGAACTCCCCAAATAGGCTAGGCTGACTGGCCATCAAGACTCAGGGATCCCCCTGTAGAGAAGCCAGCTTCTCCAGTGCTGGGATTACAAACCACCATGCTTGGCTTTTTATGTGTGCTTCGGCAATTGAACTCAGGTCTTCATGTTTATATGGCAAGGACCTTACCAGTTGAGCTTTCCCCAAGCCCTCCTTTCTAGTTCTTTGTGGTATATTTAAGAGGAATCAGTTTCAGGGCCATTTCTAGCCAGTATCACAGAGCCAGGGAATGCCAGAGGCTACCAGGGGTAACCCTAATAGGCTGGCCCAGGTCCTTTGAAGACTGATCAAACTCTTCAAGAGTGACCATTTGGGTGCAATGGTCAGACCGTCCCCACGGGGCTGGTTGAAAATCCCAGGACTCTGTCTCCCTGCTGGAGTTTACTATGCTTGTCATATTTCCAGGAAGTCTTCCAACAAAGAAAGCTGGTTAATCTCTTTCTTTCCAACTGAATTTGTTCATTTGCTGCCCCAAATTTTTAACTGCAGCACTTGGAACTCCCTCTGGCTAGTTTAAGCAGCAAAGGAATCCATTTAAGGAAAAAGTGGCTACCAGAATATTCTTTAAAGCCAGAGAATCAGGATCTGAGCAGCATGACCAAGAATAACACTACCCACCCTTCAAGAAGGCATGCAGGGAATTCCCCTACCACCGGGCCTCGGCTCCTAGGGATCAGATATGGAGGAAAAAACATACGAAATGGCATTTGTCTTCTTTGGGCTTAGTTAGATTCGGGATAATAAAACATTCTACATATGACTGGGTGTTCTTTATGTAATAGAAATGGCATCAGAATTTGGAGGAAGAGTAGGAGTTTGGGGCCAAGGACATCCAAAAACAGAAGAGTTTCCTCCAGGGTGTACCTGCATTTTGCATGGAGGTAGCCACCATTGCTGCTTAGAAGGGGGTCTATTATTATTATCTTTGAAGAACCCATTTCCTTTGAATATGGTATCTTTTTCTAAACGTACAGCAGACTCACTCTGGTCTTGCCACAAATACTTCATGACACAGAATTGCTAGAGATGGAGGAGCTAAGTCTCTGAGAGAAGGCATTTCCCTAATCTAGGGGTTTGGGACAAGTCAAGGAGATGGCAGAGTGAGAACCTGATAACCTTAGAAATGTTTGAAGGGTACAGAGTCCTGGATTCCTTGGGTTGCACAGGGCCACTAGGAAAAATATAGCTCAACTTCTTTCTCCATATAAAAATTTTACCAGAGCCATCTTCTTCCGTGGGAGGGAGGGGACTTGTCACTCACAGAAACGTCCCCAGGTTTCTGGTCTTCCCTAGAAACCCCTTTACAAAGCTGAAGTTATAATGGGGAAATTTTTATTTGCCTGGGAAGAAAACCTTTTTGAACAAGAACTCTACATCTAGGAATGCAAATCTTTAACATTCTCTCAGAACAGCGACCCGTCAGTCCTCTGAGTGGGTTTCCTATCACATTGCATTCATCAGGTTGAACACTTAGGGTGTTTTTCTGCTTGTGTACTGAGACAACCTTAGGTGGCACTTGTGACGTGCTGTTTTTGGAAGAAGATTGGTGGGAACATCAGTGTCTGAATGCCCCATTCCACCTCCCTGCTTAGACCAGCCTCCAGGCATCAATAAGCTCAACAACCTCAAGAAATTCAGGCCTTTAATTCTTGCTCTATCCCCAGTTTTTACTGACAGCCACGACTGACGGCCATTTAGTGATAGCCAAACAAAGCTGGAGAAGCAGATTGTTCTTGTTCTGTAGATGCACAGCATCTTAGAGACAGCATTTGTTATAGACTAGCATCCAGAGAGTGCACAGATGATGCTAAAGATACATCTGGCCCCTTTGAAGATGTGCAGCCAATTCATCTACGGCAGCTGCCAAGGAAAGTCTTCATGCCCATCAAACATCTGGAGAAGACACCTGTGTTTCTAGGGAATTGCTATCATGTTCTGGAACTATAGACAGCTTAAAGGCATGAAATGCCCATTTTTTTTCATCCCTGGACAGCTTATCTACCATTTATCCTATTCTTTATGGACTTGGAAACCTTTTATAGCGTGTAAGAGAGGCAACAACCCAGGCATATGTTTGGACACTGTGTTGGCATGTTCTCTGTCCATCAGCTCCATCAGCTTCATGACAGATGAAATAACACATGCTGGTTTGCCTTGAAACTAAATTTTTTTGCTTATGCTTGTTGCATATGTGCTTAAAAGTGCTCTACACTTTAATCAACAGCAACTGTATAATAATTCCTAAAGTTGTAAGCAAGTTACTCTTCTGAGTCTCACTGTCTGCATAGCTTGATGGACATGGTGACACTGTAGTCATCTGTAAGGTATCTTGTAAGCCTCATATCCCACAAATCTCTCCTCCACTGAATGAAGCTGGTCTCTTCATACTCCACATTCAAGTCACTTTGCTTGAAAACATGCTTCTCCAAGTCAATTTGAGTTGCTGGGGATTGAACCCAGGGCCTCATGTGTGCTAGGCAAGTGCCCAGCTGCTGAGCTTTCATTTCATCTTCCAGCCCACTAAAGGATAAACATGCATAATTATGTAAGCAACTTCAAATATGTAGATCAAAGATTCCTTTATCATATATGAAGTTCTTGATAATCCTACTAGTTGTATTTTGCGTTTGGTCAGATGAAATTACCATGCCTATGATTAGTGAAGCTTTTACTTCTCACTCAAGATTACACTCTTGATAATGTAAACCCCTCCTATCCAGAATAGAGGCACCTGGCAATGTCCTTTTGTAGGGCATAGCTGAGAAACATGAAAAAAGCCATTTTAAAGAGTGCTTGGTAGTCAAAACAAAAAAAAATGTGAAAGTTAAGTCTAACAGTGAGGAAGGATTTGTGTACATTAAAAAATTATACCTGATGGTCTTTAGATAACCTCTGTGGAGCAGAAATATAGTGGCCCAACAGATCTGGGTGTCCATCCACACTGTAGAAAGTACTCCCTGTGTGTGCTGGTTAGTTTTTGTCAACTTGATATAAACTAGAGACACCTGGGAAGAAGGAACTTCAATCGAGGAATTTCCTCCATCAGACTGGCCTGTGGGCATGTCTGGAGGGGTATTTGCTTGACTGTTAATTGATGCAGGAGGGCCCAGGCAACTGTGGGTGGTGCCATCCCTAGGCAGTTGGGCCTGGGCTGTAGAAGAAAGGTAGTTGAGCAAGCCAGAGGAAGCAAGCCAGTAAGTACTTTTCCTTCATGGTCTCTGCTTCAATTCCTGAACCCAGGTTCCTGCCTCAAATTCCTGCCCTTGTTTCCTTTGGTGATGAACTAACCTGTAAGCTGAAATGAACATTTCTTCCCCAAGTTAGTTTTAGTCAGTGTTTGAACACAGCAATGGAAAGCAAACCAGGGCAGGTGTGACCTTCAGAAAGTTACTCCAATGTCTTGTATAAAGAAAATAGCTCAGATAAATGCTCAGCTCTCTAGAATACATGGACACAAGAGAAAGGAAGAACCATTTTAGGGTTCTGGGCAGCCAAGATTTTATTGCTTTCCTGGGCTTTCATGTTTGGGGGCCATGTTTTGTAAATACTGTAAGTCCACAGTGTGAATGGAAGACTTTGGTTGGCTTTTGGTTCACAATAAACCACTTTCATACCTCCAGAGCCTTTGTCCAGCTCTTCCCCATAGGAAATAAGTGGGAATCTAGCAGGTCAGATTTAACTTAGAAAAACAGAGGCAAATCTGAAGAATTAAGTAGGTGATTGTACTAAATAAGAATACTTGAGGTAAAGCTATTCATGATAACAATATAACAATAATATCACTCGCCTTTATCTCACCATCTACTTCTAAAAACAGTTTTCTCACATTCTTACAATTTTTAAAAAATACCAAAGCTATATAATTAGCCTTTATTTGTAGTTCGGATAGTCACTCTAATAGCCTCTCTCCCAAAGTCCTAACATTGTCATTAGACTGTGTATGCGTTGCAGAAACCAGCACAGCACAATTGTTCTGGTATCAAGAATCTTCAGGGGCTGGAGAGATGGCTCAGCTGTTAAGAACACTGGTTTTCCTTGCAGAAGACCCAGGTTTGAATCCCAGCACCCACATGGCAGC